TATCCGAGGACGTGTGGCTTTGGACGCACAGAGAGCACCGGCCTGAGCAAGGAGTGGGCGTAGTAAGAGCCTACTTGTACTTAGGACCGGGCGCGGTCAGGGAGGCCGTGGTGGGCCTCGCAACGACAGGGACTAGTGGCGCGGTTAGCAGGGCGTTACGCTACCTGAGGGAAGAGGTAGCTGCCTTCCGAGCGGAGGACTCGAGCGACCCGTTGACCCTATTTCACGGACGCCCTCCTCTAGATATCACGGGCGAGCTAGTGGTAGCACGGGACGGGTTTTTCCTGTATAGCATTAGGAGTCTGCGGGCGATAGTTCCGACGTTCGTAGTAGAGAGCATCCTTGGAGGTATTGGTGGAGTGGTCGAGACGTACCTAGCCTATCAGGATCTCAAGATCCTGGCGAGAAGGCCTGCCGACCTCGACTACATCTATTATTCACTCGTGACCAGTGGGCCTCGTTGGGGTGACGAGAGGGTTCAGCTTATAGAGCTGGTCCGTTTGATAGACGACGAGTGGCCCCAGTCTCCTTGCGTTTGGGATTGGCTAGACCGTGAGCTCCGAGCAGGCCCCGAGTACGTGACCTGCATCGGGTGACTCTTCTCAGACGACTGGGGGAGCTGGTGGAGTGAGGACGCTGGGCGACCTCTGATCTACGACCATCAGTTAGCGGAGTACTACCAGGCTATAGGACAGGCGCCATACCGCCTCGAGGACGAGTTTGACGACGAGGGTTGGGAGCGAGACAACGACGAGGGCGTCTGGGAGCCAGACTGGGTCGACCCAGAGAGTGAGCTTGACGAGGAGGAGATCGACGTTACGGATGCCCATTTCCCCAGGATAGGAGTAGCAGTCCGGGTGTAGGAGGTAGAGGAGCACATTGGGACTACGGTTGAGTGAGCTTAGCTATTGATATCGGCTGATAGTGGATAGCGGATCGATGGTAGAGCCGGACAGTGGAGTAGAGCTTCAGATCAACGACGCCAGATGGCCTATACCTCCAGAGACAGTAGCGCTAGGCAGAGTGGTACTAGATCTGCCGGCCAGAGGGGTTTCCACGGATGCGATAGAGAGCCGATGGTCATCGACGGTGTTGGCCCCAGACGTACATTTGTGGACGTATGTCATTGAGACATTCGAGTTGGACAGTCAAGGGTGGCGACGACCTGGCACGACTAGTATAGAGGTAGTGGGCCACATTTATTACTCGCCGGAGGTGATAGTTACGGTCTATTTTCAGGGCCTCGTACACGATCATTGGCGAGAGGAGCAGGCCGCGAGGAGGGTCTTACTGGCTAGAGCGGACTCCGCGCACGGCGAGGTAAAGCGGCTGCACGGGGGAGTTCGGAGAGTGAGGACGACCTTCAGGATTGGAGGCCACTTCCCGTATCCTAGCAGTCGACTGCGAGTGACACTTCCGTGCTTTGTGGCAGAGGAGCTTTGGGGACTTAAGCGTCTGGGTGACATCTACTTTGCGGCTCTCGACTTGGACGGCTTTTGCCGAGGGTACGCCGACAGGGACTGGGTGTTGTATGCGCAATTTGTAGCAGGGCCGCTTGTAGGCGAGCGAGGGCTCCAATTGATTGAGTTCATGCGGGCCATTGTACCTACCGGGAGCCCCGACCTGTATTCTCTGTACCATCCCCTAGCCTTCTGGACGGCGCTAGAGAGAGAGGCTCGGAGGCCAACTGATCATTTAGCTGGAGTGGGACAGCTGCGAGACTCGTGAGGAGAGGCCGGGCCATCTCATCTCGACCGGGGAGGTTGAGGAGTATTACCAGCAGGTATATCCAGAGGCTGACGATCTTCCGTGGTACGCCGAGGATCGGGATTGGAAGGACTTCGATGACATAGACCCTTGGGGCGACCAGGACGAGGACTGGGGAGATCTCGCGCGGTCTGAGGGACAGAAGCAGGTAGGTGGAGAGGCGCTGCAGGAGGACGGCTGGGGCCATCTCCTTCAGGCCGAGGGGCAGGAGGACATCCCATGGGGGCAGAGGGTAGATAAGGATACAGACGAGGATATGCCAGATGCATGAGACGACTAGAGGCAGGGCATATCCGAGTGAGGTTTAGAGAAGGGAGTAGTGGAGAGTATGGTAGACCGTTGAGACCGGGATATACTGAGGGTGACTCTTTCCCTGCGACGAGATAGGACGGGTGGCTGGGAAGGAGAGGCGTTAGAGATTGTTGAGCGACAGATCAGACTCATGACGGAACATGCCCTGGAGATACGGAGGAGCCAGAGGTACGTCGAGTTTACTATCTACTTCCATGGAGCAGACGGGAGAGCGCACAACACCTACTCGACCATACTGGACCTGAGTGAGAGAGTCGTCTGAGGAGTTAGCAACGTCGAGAGATAGGGTGCGTCGAAGGGAGTCGAGTGATGTTGATCGAGAGTCGGAGGGGAGATGAGGAGTGACTCGGTAGCCTGGTTAGCTTATGTTCTCTCACGAGAGTCCGAATCGTATAGTGTGAGGAAGTTTGTGGGACCCAGAGAGATGGCTGTTGGATACGACATTCCTCTTCCTCTGACGTTAGAGGGGACAGGGCGTGTTCCGATACGATACCTGGGAACGTGGCTCGCAGAAGGACTCTTCCTTTAGACAATGATACTAAGAGATGAACGACCCGAGATGACTCATGACCTAGAAGGGGTCGGACACCTGATAGCGGATAGAGCACACGATTTAGAGGTAGGACTGACGCTCGCAAGGGCAAGCAAAGCTTGGTGGAGAAGCGGGTCGTTGGCCAGAGTGATCGTTAATCAGCAACTGGCAAGACTATCTGGAGGGAGGACGCGTTGGAGCCGCTTGGTATACGGTCCACCGCATCCGACCCTCTACCCGAGAGAGGATTGGCGGTTCAGACTTCCTGCCTTCGTGATAGGGCAGACCTATGGGAGCATAGATCGTTTGAGTAGAGCAGTGGACCACACACTTTATGCGCTCTGGGAGGGCTTAGCGCCCCGTTTCAGAGAAGTATACTACGCCATTTGTGTGAGGTGGGGACCACCCAGTAGAGAGACACTTGACGACATCATAGACGTTACTTGCTGGGTGGACTTTTTGAGGCGAGTCGATCTGATTAGGTACTGCAGGAGATGGGTGGAGATCGATTACGTAGGGCTAGAGGATGTGAGGTTTCTCTTCGAAGCCGCAGCTTAGGGAATGTCGGGGAGGACGGCCACGGTGATGCGTGTAGGGGAGCAACTGGTAAGCACAGGGTACACTGTGACAGTACTTCTCCGGGCATATGTAGACGAGGACTTGACGGCGAGGGAGTGCCGGCAACGAGCCAGAGATTTGATCCACGAGCATAGAGCCGATGTACTGGCGCGGGTGACCTTCCAGACCTCGATTTCCTATGATGTGATGATATGGTTTCATGGTTATATGCGCGAGGAGCACTTCCACGATGAGACGGTAGCGGAGGCTAGAGCGAGGGTGAGAGGATGAGTTGGAAAGAGATGAGGACTGAGTATGGAAGAGGAGAGTGAGGCAGTCAGAAGAGTGAGAGAGCACATTAAAGAACCACTCTTGAACCAGGTAAAGGAGTTGGGGAACAAGTTAAGGGAGATCTGGTCGTGCCAAGATGAGGGCAAGTTGCGTAGGGCAGAGCTCGCGACGAGAGAGTTAGAGAGTTTGTTTAGGGAGGAAAGAGAGAAAATCCAGGCATGGAGATCAGACTTTCTGGAGAGAGTAAAGGCTAGGAGCGTATCACGTGAAGGAACTAGGGAGAGGTCTGCAGAGGCCGAGTCGACGGAGGACAAGGTAACACAGGGTGGTAGCGACAGGACATGAGCGGGACTGCACTACACACGACGGATCGGTACTCATTGCATGTGGTAGGGAGACTGGACGGACCGTTGGTGTTAGTAATCGTAGAGCTCCAGCTCCATACCAGACTGTGCATAGTTGAGGAGGCAGAGTGTGTCCGTTGTGCGCTGCGTGAGGCTAGGGGGATAGGACTTTGGATTGGAATAGAAGGAGGACGGAGGATAGAATACGTATTCCGAGTGACACCTTTCGGAGGGTGGTCTCGGATAAGGGCATGGTACGAGATGACCAGAGAGGTTGAGAGGTTGAAGATAAGCGAAGCCAGGAAAGCTGGAGAGCTAGGGAGAGTTGTAACAGACGGTGCAATACTCAGGGTGCTAGCCGCTCATGATCGGTACTGGAGGGAGTCGATAAAGACTTTAGAGGTCATAGAGGATAGTGGAGATGAGGAGGATTTTGAGACATTCTATGACATTTTGGAGCTGTTGGCGAAGAGGTTACGAGTGGTTATAAGACTGACTTACCTCAGGTGCTAGACAGATGACCTCATAGCCGTTTGGGGGTTAAAGGAGGAGAAATAGAGGTTGGAAGCTCTTGGAAAGAAAGTGGAGGTTAGAAAGGTCGGCGAGCGACTTTGGATGACAATAGGAGGAGAGCTTCCACCTTCAGCAGGCTACCCGATTCAAGACGGGCTAGGAGACCGAGCAAGGAGGACTGAGATAGACGCACGGAGGCTCTTGAGGGGTGCTGATCACGAGACATTAGTTAGGCTTGGGACCGCAATCTGCCGCAAGAGTAGAGACCCTGTCACGGATGTACTGCAGATCCGGAGAGGCGCGGCCTTGATGGCCGATCCCGAAGGAGAGGTTTACCTAGAGACATGAATTCTCGGGATAGAGGGAGAGCACGAGACCCGCGACCGGAACGGAGTACTAGTGGTGGTAATCAGGGCAGTCGAGAGCTAGGATTGGAGACGAGCGTGAACCATGACAAGGAAACTGGTCCGGGCTGCGAATTCTGTAACAAGTCCGGGCTGCGACAACTATCATAGGTCCGGGGTGTAACACCCGGCGAGAGTGCCTAACTGCGTCTTCTGGTGGCCTATGGAACCAGACACGATGGGGCCACAACCGACCACGGCCGAGACAGGAGAGGAGTACAGGACATCGCCCGACCGAGCGCTAAGGGATCTGAAGGAACGAATTAGGCGGGACGCACCGCTGAGATGGGCTGACCAAACCAATGACGGAGAGCCCGACGTAATGGGCGAGCCGGTCGTGACAGAGCACCAGGAGGCTCTGAAGACAGGAAACTCGAGCACCCGGCGAGAAGCAACGAGACGACGCTCCACGGAGTATAAGTGGAGGGAAACCATGGCGGATAGGCACAGGGACAACTGGCGAGAGAGTTCGAAGGATTCCTATTGGAGGGACAGATATAGAGATAGAGCACCACCGCGGCGTGTCTTCGACCCCCAAACGGGGGAATCACACCCACTCCCTTACGAGAGCAAGGATCGCTATATTATCACGCACAAGACCTCAAAGCCTCCTACTTTCAGGGGCTATGGCATTACAGAATATCTGGAGAAGTGGGAGCTTCACGCCAGCCGGAGTCAGTGGTCGGAGGAAGAGATTATAGAGAACTTCCTATTCAATGTGGACCCAAGTCTCGGTAAGGAAGTTAAGGAAGCTCGACCGAAGGATGGGAAATGGACTACGTACAAGAAGAACCTTGTTGAGCTTTACAAATTGGAGAATAACAAGTACTTCATCAAGGACCTTGAGACGATGACTCAAGATGAGGATGAGAGCGTACGGGCATTTGGGATGTGTTTCCAGAAGATCTCCGACGTGCTGATGAAGAAGGGGAAGATCTCAGAGGTCGAGCGTTGTACTATCTTCATCGGACATCTGTCCAAAGGTAGACAAAAGAGTATACTTAGAGACCTTCCATGCGACAAGCTTGACTTCCCAGAAGTCCTAAAGCTCGCGATAAAGGCAGAGGCAGACGACTACAAAGACTTGGTATGGAGGGGAATGAGGAGACCGGATTTCTCTCTCTATAAGGAGTATGTCACTGATAGATGCCCTGATTTCAAAGACTATCCCTGGTCGGAAAAGAATGAAGCCGTGGCTGAGGAAGTGAAGGAGATAAGGGACATGGTAAAGGGATTGACAAGACAGGTAACAGAGATTGTGACCACCACCGGAGCCACGGCATATTGGGACAAGCTCAGAGGGCCCTATTCACTTCACTGGGACCGGAGGAACACTGATTCCTGGAGGAGTGTCGAGGATAGAAATCCTCGAACGCTGACTGATTATCGTGCGAGGGAGAGGGAGAAAGACGATGAGCCATGGCGGCACCGGGATGATGAGATAGACCGGGACCGCAGGACTCGCGAGACGTATGGGCGTGCTAGGAGACTGGATGACTACTCGCGTAGCCCTCGCTATGAGCCTGACGGGGGTATAGGCGACTCTCGAGGCCGGTGGGAGTCGGATCAGGGTCGGCGAGACGGATACAGGGGCGACAGATATGAGAGATCGGGTCGAGATGGACATAAAGACGATAGATATGAGAGGTCGGATCGAGACGGATACAGCGACGGCAGATATGAGAGAGGAGATCGACCCGACGATTCGCTTGGGCGATACGACCGAGGAGACCGACGTGATGATTCACGCGGGCGATACGGCCGAGGAGACCAACGTGATGATTCACGCGGGCGATACGACCGAGGAAACTGACGTTATGATTCACGCGGGCGATACGAACATGGAGACCGCCGCGATGATTCGCACGGCAGGAATGGGAGAGGGGGATATGGCGCGTCGTCTGATCCGTATCCGAAGTCCCCTTACCCTAGAAAAGCGAGGGGTTCGACCTCCAGAGGCGCTGACGACAGGCCACCCACTCCCAGGAACTATTGTGTCTACTGTAGGAGGGATGATCATATCAAGAGACATTGCTTGGATCTCAAACGGGCAATAGATGAAGGACTTGTCGTGCTTGATGACCACAAGTACGTCAAGTGGGCAGATGATCTGGGAGATGTATCGATGTTCCCCTCGATGAAGGAGAATGTCGAAGCAAGGAGAGTAAAGCCGAGTAAAGGAAAGGAGCCGGTTAGAAGTCAGAGCATGAAGATAACTTTCGAAAGAGATATGGCGACCACACCCATAAGGGTGGCAGCTACCAAGTCCGCGAGAGGGTCTACATCGAAGAAGACCGACACGGATTACGTGATGACGGAGAAGGACGGACAGCGGATCGATGGAGAGGAGGTTATTCTTTCGCCGCGGAAGCGGGGAGTGAAGAAGTTTTTGATGAAGAGTTCGCTGGACGAGATTGACACGGTCGAGCTACTGAGGCGGGCCCTTCGGCAGCCCATGCAGTGCTCTATTCTGGAGTACCTGGCGGCATCGAAGCCGGCTCGCGATGAGTTACAAATGATCACGGGGAAAACTCGCATACCTCTATCAGAGGAGGCTCAGGGGGGCCCTAAGGCGGAAGCTCCCACTGTAGCAGTGACGGGGGTGACTGCCAGAGCGGATCGCATAGCGACAGTCCTCCTTGATGGGATGGAAGGTGTGTCTCCAGACAAGTTTTACATACTTGGTAGTGGGGCCGTGGAGGCGATCATAAATGACGGAGCGGTACTAGATGCTGTGATCGATAACGGCAGTGAGGCTGTCATTATAGACGAGGATCTGGCAGTGCGGGTTGGACTGAGACTCGATAGGTCATTACCTATTCGAGATAGAGACGGCTGATGGGAGAAAGCAACAGATCACTGGGGTTTGTCACAAGGCAGCCATAGAGGTCCAAGGGGTACGAGTCACCCTGCCTGTCTTTGCAGTCAAGAACTGCAGCTCCGATCTGCTCTTCGGACGAACGTGGTTGAGCCACTTGCATGCGGTGACGATAGAGCGACCGGACGGGAGCCAGACATTATCCATTAAGAAGCTAGATGGGACATGGGTAATGATTGAGATAGTGGAGCCTCGGGACTCGAGGAACAGAGCGGCTCTCGCTGTGGGTGCAAGACCCAGTGATCAGATTAAGTCGTTACCTATCTCCGGCCACGCGGTACGATTTCGCGAGAAGAAGTATGGACCACTGCTCACAGAGGAAGAAGGTCGGATCGTGGAGGTGGAAGATTTAGGGAGTTGGCTGATAGTGGATGGCAACTCCTACCCAAAGGAGACAGATGAGGAATTTGGCGGGTTGGTATCTGTGTTTTTTTTAAGGGCACGGCCCCCTATGGGGGGCTACCCAAGCGACACAAGCGAGTAGCTCAAAAGTTTAAGCCAGCGGCGGTGGGCCGCGAGCGATCTGCACTGGAAGGGATATCGGAAGAAAAGATCGCAAAAGAAATCAAAAAAAGAAAGAAAAAAGAGTCGCAACGCCTAACGGAAGAGAGGATAGCGGGGATGAACATCGGAGATGGGAATTTGACCCCACAGGAGCGAGAACGTGTGATAGAAATCCTGAAGACATATGATAAGGCAATAGCTTTCAGCGACGCGGAGCACGGTAGGGTTGACCCTCGATACGCTAAGCCAGCAAGGATTTACACGATTCCACATGTTCCTTGGAATGACGCAGGATGAAAATACGCCCAGAAGGAGAAGGAAGAAGTTATCGCTTTCCTGAAAGAAAAGATGGTGTCCCATGTTGCGGAGCCGTCTGATGGCGCTTATGTTAATCGATGGTTCTTCCTACGAAAGCCGAATGGCAAGATCCGATGGATCCAGGACCTTCAGAAGGTCAACGCGGTGACGATACGAGACGTGGGCTCTGTATCACACGCCGATTTACTGGCAGAAGGCGCCGCAGGCAGGTCGATTTATTCGGTCTGTGATCTGTTTTCAGGCTATGATGAGGTACCGCTTGATCATAGGGACAGGCACCTCACGGCTATGCATACGCCATTAGGACTAATACAAATGATGGTTGTCCCTATAGGTTGGACTAATTGGGTAGCCGTTTTTCAGAGAGCCATGGTAGTCGTCCTCAAGGACTTCATCCCTGATAAGGTTGAAGTTTTTCTGGATGACTTTCCTATAAAAGGGTCAGTAAACAAGGATGAGACAAAGGTTGGACTATGAGTTAGGAGATTCGTCAAGCAGCACCTAACAGATATTTGCGCGGTACTCGAGCAGCTGGACGATGCGAATTTGACGGTCAGCGGAACAAAGAGTCGATGGGCCGTCTCGACTATTAAGATCTTGGGCTTTATCTGTGACTCGAGGGGACGCCGAGCAGACCCGACAAAGTTAGACAAACTCTTGAACTGGCCGTCACCGTTATATAGTCCAACCGAGGTCCGGCAGTTTCTGGGGGTGGTCGGTTACTGGCGTATATTCATACGGGGTATGCGGAGAAGGCTGAGCCATTGAGGTTACTCCTTCAAAAGACTGAAAAATTCTACTGGGATTCTTCGCAGGAACTCGCTATGCAAGAGCTTAAAGACGAATTTAAGGAGGTAGGACGCGTACTGGGCGTGCCGTTCTTTGATGATGAGGCTGGGAGACCCTTCATAGTATCCACGGATGCTGGACCTTGTTCGGTAGGAGGGTTGCTGTCTCAGAAAGATGCAGAAGGGAAGGAAAGGCCGTTAAGATTTGCGAGTAGGACACTTAATACGGCAGAGCGAAACTACAGTCAATGCAAGAAGGAAGTGTTAGCTGTTCTGCGGTGTCTAGACACGTTCAAACACTATATCTATGGGCGATGGTTCATCTTGAGAGTAGATCCCACAGCGGTTGCTTCTGTGCTCCAGAAGGATTTTAGTCTGACGGACCCGACCATTGCACGATGGTTAATACGGATTCGGCTATATGATTACACGGTTGAGAGGATATCTGGCGCTAAAAATGCCGTAGCAGATGGGTTCTCTCGGATCCCTCTTGAGGTCGAGCGCCCGATAGTACCTGGAGCCTTGACAGTGGCGGAGCCGAGACGCGCCGAGCGATTTCTGGTTAACCTTTACGAGGGCAAATACCAGACGATCGGGCTACATTTGTCAGGGGAGGAAAGTCAAGAATCAGATATCTGGAGACAAGCGGCGCAGTACTGCCTTAGAGCTACCATCTATTCCGAAGGCTGGTTGGCTCGGGGATGCCCTTACGAGTAGTCTGTGACCCTGAGGAGAGAGAGACGATAGTTGCGGAGCTTCACGACGGGGTAGTCGGAGGACATAGAGGAGTGAAAGAGACCTATGAAAAGGAACGCAGGCTGTACTGGTGAGAAGGACAGTATAAGGACGTCGAGAGATACTGTATGACCTGCGAAGAGTGCTAGAAGAGAGTTTTTGTCAAATACAAAGAGCCACTACATCCATCCTATCCGACCAGGCTAGGAGAGAAGGTGCACATCGATCTGGTGAAGATGCCGAAAGGGGTAGGCAATATGAACTATGTTGTGAACATACGAGACGACTTCACGGGGTTTGTGGACGGTAGACCTATCAGGAGTCAGACGGCAAAGGAAGTGAAGAACTTCTTCCTAGAGTACTTATCTAGGTATGGTTGTGTCGGCAAGACAGTGATGGACAGAGGGGCGGAATTCCTAGCTGACGAGGTTCAKAATGTGTTCAAGAGAGCTGGGGCGAGAGTTTCGATAGCCACTGCCTACCACCCACAGTCGAACTCCCCAGTAGAGAGGGGGCACCAGACTCTGATAGCGTCACTATCCAAGTGGTGCAAAGGTAAGGACAGTGGTTGACCACGATATTTTCGGTACGCAATATGGGCGGACAACGTCACGGTCCGGGCTAGCACAGGATACCCACCATACACCTTGTGGTTTGGGCGACATTGTCCACTCCCCCTAGAGTTTCACGTCGACAGTTGGACAACCGTCGACTGGGCGGAGGAGATGTCCAGAGAGGAACTCATAGCTGTCCGAACAAGACAGATAGCCTACGATTTGGAAGATAACCTTATGACAGCGGCAGATCGTCTGGCAGTGGAAAGGGACAAGGGTAAAGAGAGATGGGATAAGAACGTGCGAATCAGGAAAGAGAGGGTGAGCATAGGAGATATGGTCCTTCTCTACGACGCAGCACTGGAGAGGACCTGGACCGAAAAACTCGCCAACAGATGGATAGGACCTTACAGAGTGGTTGAGGCACTCGACTGGGGTGCATATATGATAGCAGAATTAGACGGATCCCAGTGGAAGGACCCAGTGGCGGGTGCTAGGTTAAAGTTGTTTAGACCCAGGCCCGCACCCACCTTATCGCAGACAAGCCCAAAAGGGAAAGGAAAAGCAAGAATGAAGGATGGAGCCCCCTTGAGGCGATTCGAGGCAGGGGAGAGTTTCAAGAAGAGGAAAAGAATAGAGAAAAGAAAGGTCAAAGGGTTAGCTTTAGGAAGAGAGAATAAATGGTTATTCGTGCTCAAGAAGGCTAGACGGAGAGTTCGCGTTAGACGGACTAGCGGGTCGGCACCCTTCTCGGGGCAAAGACAGAAGAAAAAGAGGATCGTGCCGAGGCAAAAAACCAGAAGAAACAGGAAAGTCAAGAAGCATCTTCTTAGCCCCAGGACTCATAACAGACTGAAACATAAGCCAATTGGACGCCGACGTGGGCGTCCTTTACGGGCCATCACCCTGAAGCTCGTCCGCTTCGTCTGACGTAAGTGGTTAGGGCTCGACGGGGGCGTCGGGAAGTGGTCCGGGCTAACTGTCAGGCGGCCACAARCAGTGCGCCGCCTGAAATCTGCGGCTTCGGGGCTTAGGCTCAAAGACAATTCCGTGTTTTGACGGTGCTCCGAGTTGACCAGGCAGCAAAAATTAGGGGAGTTCAGGGCACCCCTGACTATAGGCACACTGAACCTTACGAGTAGCCCTCAGAGGTAGCGAGATGGGTGGCCGCACACGACACATCTAGGGACCGTCATTTCCGCCTGTTCCGGAGCTAGACCTGGGATGGCCTGCCGCGGAGAGGCATCGTGGGAACTGACCTCGCCGCAACGTTTTGGCGGCATACGACCGGGGCCGAAATGAGGCCTCAAAATTTTTGTCTATTTTAGTCCCATAATTAAAGATGGGGAAAAGGGATTAAGACCAGTAGGGGAGAAGGGAAAAACAGGATATCCCCTAGTTTCTTTTTTTTTTTTGGCATCTAAATCTAGGGGGAATACCCTTGTTATTTTATGTTCCCGGCAATGGAATTAAAAACATAGAAAAATATTAGAAATGGTAAAAGAGAAAAGAAACAAAAGGAATTCGGCCATTTATTTAAACTTTTTCAGAATTTAATTTTGGGGATCTTACGGTTAATTTACTATTTCCGACAATAGAATTAAGGAAAGGGAAGAACGATGAAAAACAGTGAAAGGGGACGGGAAACGATGACAATTGGGAGATGGGTCTAATCTCGCCTTGATTACCCGCCACCAGCCCTGACCTCGGATTGAACATTTTCCCCGGATTTTAACAGTTTTCACTACTGTCGATGGTCGGGGTTCTCTGCGTCATTTTCCCTGGTTTGCTTGATTACTAACATTACCGCAGTTGGGATGTTCTGAGAGCGGGAGTCGCATGGACAACCTGGGGTGGTGCTACCTTGGGTTGACTATGGTGTTTGGTTCGGTACGGATACGAGGTTTGTTACGGAGTGGCTACGTCCTACGGTGTCTGACGTGCAACAGGTACGGTATGGGCCCGGTGACAGTTGTTTCACTACGGTGGCTTATCTTCAGGTTTGGGACAACTGCGGTAATTTATTCTCAGGACCGGGGCTACAACGACAGTTATTCCAGGTTTGGAACCTTGGCGGCAGTTTGTTTTCAGGTCCGAAAACGTCGCGGCATTCTATATCAGGTTCGGGACAGGTACGGAAGTATCATGGCATGGTTGTACGGGTTCGGCAT